CCGCCTTGAGTAAGAAGGGGGGAAGTCTCAAGGGGGAGCCATGGTTTTGTTGAGACGGCAGCTTTCGGCGGCAAGCAAGAGCACCGTCCTGAGGAAAAAGGGAGGAAGCCTCGAGCGGGAGCGTTGTTCTTGCTGGGAGCGGCGCCAATTCAAAAGAGAGTAGGGCGCCAGTCCAGCGTAAAACGGGCGGAAGTCTCGGCTGGGAGCGCTGGTTTTGTCGGGAGGGCGGTTTTCGGCGGGGAGCAAGAGCACCGCCTTGGGTAAAGAAGGGACAACGTCTCGAGCGGGAGCGTTGTTGTTGCTGAGGGCGGCGCCGATGAGCGAAAGATAAGCGCGCCAGTCCAAGGTAAAAGGAGAGGAAGTCTCGAGCGGGAGCACTGGTCTTGTTGAGACGACTGCTTTCGGCGGCGAGCAAGAGCACCATCAAAAGAGAAAGCCTCGAGCGGGAGCGTTGTTCTTGCTGGGAGCGGCGCCAATTCTAAAGAGAGTAGGGCGCCAGTCCAGCGTAAAACGGGAGGAAGTCTCGGCTGGGAGCGCTGGTTTTGTCGGGACGGCGGTTTTCGGTCGCGAGCAAGAGCACCGCCTTGGGTAAAAAAGGGAGGAAGTCTCGAGCGGGAGCGTTGTTGTTGCTGGGGGGCGGCGCCGATGAGAGAAAGAGTAGCGCGCCTGTCCAAGGTAGAACGGGAGGAAGTCTCGAGCGGGAACACTGGTTTTGTTGAGACGGTTGCTTTCGGCGGCGAGCAAGAGCACCGGCCCTGAGTAAAGAAGGATGAAGTCTCGAACGGGAGCGTTGTTGTTGTTGTTGGGGGGGCGGTTTTGGCGGTCCCCCAAACCGCTTGAGAGTGAGCCTCTTTTTCAATGAAAATGCAGCCGGTGCCTCGGCAAGAGCGCCAGGGCGCCTGTAAGGGGTCCAACAATAATAAGTGTCTAACAATTAACATTCAACATCATCCGTCATCACCACAACCACCACCACCGTCATCATCACCATCCGCATCTTCATCCTCATCATCGTCATCATCATAAGCAGCATAATCATCGTCATAATCCCCAACGGGACCCCAGGGGCGACGTGCTCCCCGGGCGGAGCGGGAGCGCGGCAAGCCTTGCGCACACCATCGTACCTGTCCTCTGCAAGTGCTTTCCGTCCACACGGACTGCACACATTCCGCGGCGAGCCCAGAGGGCGGAGTCACACGAGGCGGGCCTTCTCAGAAGGCTCGGAAGGCTTCCAGCCTTCTGAGACAGTGTCGAATCGCTCTTCGAACACAGAAACAGCTTCTCAAAGGCCACCTGGTTTCTGAAAAGCCTCGCCGCCTTCAGAGAAGGCTCGCCTCCGCCCAGTTCCCCCCCGGGCGCGCCGCCGACGAATGAGATGTGTCTGCAGTTTCGGCTACGTGGCCGAGACTCGGGATACGGAGGTTCGCGAATTGCCAGTACTGGGGGGGCAGAAGAGAAGGAGGCAGGAAGAAGACGGGCATACCAAAACGACGAAGAAATTCGCGAGTGCGTGGATCGTCCTGGGCGGGCTGCGTTCGCACAGAAACCCTCGCGGCCAGCAGCAGTGGAGGCACAAGAAGGGAAAAAAGGAGAGGGAGAAAAGAAAACGGCAAGAGAGCGAAAGGATGTCGAAAAAAAACGTGCCGAGAGTGGGCTAACATCCCCCGAGCAAGATGAAAAGAAGCGACAAAGCGAATGAGACGACCAACAATGCCACGCAGGACCGCAACTGGCGCGCAATCCGCAGCGAACAATTCAAGAAAAACGGGGGAGGAGGCGGAGAACAAGGAGGAGAGGAGGGACGAAGCTAGCTTTTAAGAAGTCGATTCCGCGCACGCTTCACGATGCCAGCGGCGCACGAGCTTCCACGCACCACTTCGTTAGCGAAGCCACGAAAAGCTTCGGGCCCCGCAGAACGCGCGAGGCCTGCGAGAACGGCGCCGCGCGCGCGCATGACACACTGCGCAAGCCCTCAGCGCGGCTCGAACGTCACCTGCTGTGTGGCGGTTCACGGACTCAGCAGGGATGAAGCCGACGAGCTCCGCCAAGGCGTTCTCTGGCACTAATCATCATAAACCGGTAACGTTGCTCGGAAAGGCGGTGTAAGCGTGGACACTGCGATTGCTGTTCAATACTGTCCGTTCCGCCGCTGTCTAGGCAGCAACGATCCCTTCCCTGAAAACCGTGGAAGGAGAAGTCCAGCGGTACCGCGTCCAGCTGCGCGCAGAACATGATGACAGGCGCCGCGAAAACCTTACAGGCTTCCATGGAATGAAGGAGCTCCAATCGAAGCTTACCCCAGATCGTGGCCCGCTCCAAGTATAAGACAAAGACAACGTTGAGCAAGCTGCTCAAACACCCTCATCATGAAGTACTCTACCACCGACGGGAAGCCAGCGGCGAAGTCAAAGGGCAAACGCCCGTCACCGTCGTACTCGGAGGCTCCGAAAACCTTAAAGCAGTCCATGTCCAATAGACTGGCAATAATGTACGGTCCCCCCACCAAATGGTCAATATCATCATGGTTATCCTCGTTATCGTTATGTTTATCCTCGTTACTGCCATCATTATCCTCGCCATCACCACCATCATCAGCATACTCCACCGCAACAACCTCATTGGCATCAGCATCATCAGTTGCCAGCGGCACCGGCATCAGCACCAGCACCTTCCCATCGCCATCACCACTGTCATGACACCAGTCCATCATCATCCCTTAAAACCACCATCATCATCAACAGCAGAATCATCATCGGCATCATCATCATCCTCATCATCATCCTCATCATCATCCTCATTGTCATTATCATCATTATCATCAGCATCATCAACAGCAGCGTCATCATCATCAGCATCATCAGCATCTGCAGCATCATAATCGTCATCATCATCGCCAACCTCCTCAGCATCCTCATCATCCTCATCATCATCATCATCAGCATCATCGTCATCAAAACCACATTCACCATAATCATCAACAGCATCATCATCATCACTATCACAATCACTATCATCATAATCATCATCATCATCAGCATCATAATCATCATCATCATCATCATCATCATCATCATCATCATCATCATCATCATCGTCGTCATCATCATCATCGTCGTCGTCATCACCATGATCATCGTCATCATCATCAGCATCATCATCACCACCACCGTCACAACCACCACCATCATCATCACCATCACCATCACCATTACCATCACCATCACCATCATCATCATCATCATCATCATCATCATCATCATCATCATCATCATCATCATCGGTATCCGCAAAATCACCATCATAGTAATCGACATAATCAGTCATCATAAGCAGCAGCAGCGTCATAAGCATCAGCATCATCATCATCATCATAAGCAGAATCAGCAGCATCAGCATCAGTATCATTATCATCGTCATCGTCATCGCAACATAAAACAAAAACAACAAACAACATACAAACAAACGCCTTCGTCGTCGTTAGCATCATCAGCAGCATCATCAGCAGCATCAGCATCATCATAATCATCATAAGCATCAGCAACATCACCATCATCAGCAGCATCATCAGCAGCATCATCGACGTCGTCGTCATCATCGTCATCATCATTATCATAACCGACCACCAACATCCTCACCATCATCATCAGCATCATCATCAGCAGCAGCATCGTCATCATCAGCATCGTCATCGTCATTGGCACCATCATCATCAGCAGCAGTATCATTAACATCATCATCATCAGCAGCAGCATCATCATCAGCATCGTCATCATCACGGTCGTCGTCGTCGTCGTCGTCGTCATCAACCTCACAATCGCAAACACCGCCACACTCACCACCTCGGCCACCGCTGATGCCATCCCTGGAGACAACATCGTGTCTACCGCCATGAGCACTGCAGCACACATCCAACACGAACCGCTTATTGCAGCGCACATGCTTGGGGCAACCCTGGTAAGCAACTCTACAGGTCAGCAGGGTCGACAAAATCGTCGTCGTCGTCGTCATTGTCGAAATGACCATCCCTTCCACGTCCACCTACCCCCTCTCCATCATCAACACCGTTGTCGCCCTCGTCTGTCCCACCTACCCCATTGTCGTCCCCCATCCTCGTCTGATGGGGACCGCCAGGGGGAGAGTGGGACTGGCGCAGGGGGAGGGGGGGGGGAACATCGGCATGGAATCGGCGATACGTCGCCGACAGATCGGCAGTGGGCCCCCGATAACAAAACCGAACGCTCCTAGGCAGGGCGGGCTATCGGGCCCCCCCCCCTCCGTGTCAGCGACGGGTCGGGCGATCGTGGATTGATGCACCCCCCCCTCTGAGCCCATCCCTCCCCTACCCCCCTAAAGGTTGCCCCAAATGTTACCTCCCTCTCATCCTCCTCCTCCTCCTCCTCCTCCTCCTCCTCCTCCTCCTCCTCCTCCTCCTCCTCCTCCTCCTCCTCCTCCTCCTCCTCCTCCTCCTAACCCCCTCCTCCTCCTCCTCCTCCTCCTCCTCCTCCTCCTCCTCCTCCTCCTCCTCCTCCGCCTCATCCCCCTCCCCTGGGGAAACCAAAAGGTACCGATACCGCTGCTCCCCAGACCTCTCCCGGGTGCGTTCTGACCAGGACCTCAAGGCGAATCCAGCGGTGGCGACGAAGGCCTCCCAGGAGGCCCCAGGAGTGGGAAAACGAGGGACGGGTAGCGGCATCGGTCCCTCTTCCTCTTCTTCTTCGTCTTCTTCGTCTTATTATTATTATTCTTATTTTTCTTCTTATTATTCTTATTATTCTTATTATTCTTCGTATTATTATTATTCTTATTATTCTTATTATTATTATTATTATTATTCTTATTATTATTCTTATTATTCTTCTTATTATTATTATTGTTATTATTATTCTTCTGACAGCCTCCCTCCTCCCTCCTCTTCTGCCCCCCTCGTCCGGCACACCCGAAGGCCGCCCCCGCCGCCCCAGCGCGCGCGAGAGGAGCGGGGGCGGGAGGCAGGAGCGGACCGACGTTGTCCGTCTCCAGGTTCAGGGCCATGCCCTTCAGGCCGCTCGAGAACTCGACCATCTCGCCCGCCTGTGGTCGGGGGCTGCTCCAGGTGGCCCCTGGCCCAAGGTGCCCCCAGCCCTTCGCTCAGCTCCAGAGCCCCTGGGGCCCCCTGCGCTCCGCGAGGGGTGCTCTGGAGGCAGTGGGGGCCTCCTTGGCAATCCTGGGGGCATCTTGGGCCAGCGGCACTTCTATTTGGAGTCCCGAAACGGTGCGGTGACAGACCGTGCGGTGACCTCGATATCCCCCAAGACCTCACCGCACGGTCCGTCGCTGCACGGTCTTGGGACCCCGGAGGCCCCTGTCGCCCGAGACATCCTCGGAGCACGGCCCGAGTCCCAAAACCGTGCGGTGACCCCAAATCCCCACCGACGCACCGCACGGTGTGGTCACCACCCCGTTTGTTTGGCCGCCCGAAATGGGTACGGAAAGAACGGGTACAATGCCCAACAACACATGTCGTCCCAAACCAACAGCGGCCGCTGTTGGGCAGGCGGCCTTCTGTCTCAAATGGACACGGGCCGCGGCGGCGCGGACAGCAAGCCCAGATCAAAATATGAACAGGAGCTGCTGTTGGGCACCGTACCCCTTCTCTCCGTACCCATGCCGGTCGCGCAGAGTTTGGGGACCCCCGATTCTGGCAGCACCTGGTGCGGAGCCCAAGCTTTGGGCCAGCGCGGCGGTCGCAGGCCAGACGACGGCGACGACGACGACGACGACGACGACGACGACGACGACGACGACGACGACGACGGCGACGACGGCGACGACGACGACGACGACGACGACGACGACGGCGACGACGACGACGGCGACGACGGCGACGACGACGACGGCGAGCAGGGCCGCGGAGCGGCCGCGGGCGGAGGCGCGTCGGGCGGGGCGCGGGGGGCGGAGCTCCGGAGGCGGAGGCCCCCGGCAGCAGGCACGGCGGGGGCGAGAGAGAGCTCGAGGAGGAGGGAGGAGAGAGAGCTCGAGGAGGAGAGGGGGAGCTCGAGGGGGAGGGAGAGCTCGAGGAGGAGGGAGAGCTCGAGGAGGAGGGAAGAGAGAGAGAGAGAGAGAAAGCGAGAGCTCGAGGAGGAGAGAGAGGGGCGGGAGGAAGGGGCGCCGCGGTCGAGAAGGGGCGAGGCGGAGGCACGACGGGCAGGGGAGGGCGCGATGGGGAGAGGGCGACGGCGAAGGGCAGGGACAGGGGCGCAGTGAGGGCGAGAGCGTGGGAGGAGAAGCAGCGCGAGGGCTCCCAGCTTCGCGCTATCGCGCCGCGCGAAGCGCGAAGAGCGCAAATGGCTTCGCGCTCTCTCGCGCCGCCTCCCGGGGGAGAAGAGGAGGATAAGGAGGAGTCGGAGCCGAACCGCGAGGCGCGAAGCGCAAATATAACTTCGCGCCCTCGAGGGCGCCCTCGACCACAGGAGTCTCTGGAGAAGCAGACGCGGAAAGGCGGCGAGGGGAGACAACAGTTGTCAGGAGGAGGAGAGGTGTTTGGCCGAATGGAATGTAGGGCACCCTCGCAGCCTCTTCTGCCGCCATGGGTTTTTCCCATACTTGCGCTCGCCGTGGCGGACAGCGCTGGGAGGCGCGTCGGTACTCCGCGGGAGCCCAGGCTGCGCATTCGTGCGGCATGACAGCCCCTACAGCGTCAACTATCCACTTCAAGTGGGCATTTAACACGAACACCGAGAAGCGCTTACCCTTAGCGATGCCGCTCGGAAACCGGAAAAGCTCAGCCGCCAGCCCATGAAGGGCCACAAACTGCATCTGCATCTTGACAAGAACATCCAACAGGAGCCACTCGGCCTCCACCACGCCGCCGTGAAACGAGGACAAGAGCACGGCGTCATGCGAGGCCATATCAAACGCCTATCGGGAGTGGTAGGCGCCCAGTACGTCGGCAGCGCTTGTGCAACCACGCAGCTGCGCGTGCAGCAGCAGCGCGAGCAGAACGAGCAGAAAGTCACCAACCCCGCACTGCTGGCCAACGCAGCGATACCGAGTGAGGGTGGACTGGTTACGCTGGGTCCAGAGGGCGTGCGTTGCGGCACACACGACAGCGGATATCGAGATAGGCCGGAGGCACACGACAGCATGCACCACTCGGGATCCCGATCATAGAGCGGTGTGAACTGTCTCGCAGACCGCAACGCGCTGGTCGACCTGGAGGGATTCGCCGAGGCCAACACGAGACGCCTGCCCTGCAGACACTTGCATCTAACCGATGCATCAGAGCCACGGAGCGCACTGGAGGACACTCTTGGCGTCGACACAAAATCCGATCTGCTCAATCGGGGTCACCGCCTCAGAAATAATGACGCGAAACGAGGTACTCTGGTAGGGATAGGGGAGGTGGAGGAGGACGAGGAGGAGGCGCACGAAGCCGAGAAAGAGTAGGAAGAGGAGAAGGAGGAGGAGGAAGAGAAGGAGGAAGATAAAGATGAGAGGGAAGGACTGGGGGAGAGGAGGAGAACGACAGGACGAAAGGGGAAGGACAGGGAGGAGAGGAGAGCGAGCAGGACGAGCAGGACGAGAGGGGGGGGGTGGGGGGGGCGATTGCGGCTGCCAGGTGTTAGACCAGAACCGCGCCGCGTCGCCAGCAGAAGCTGGGCCAGGTACGCCCTGCTTGAGATCCGAACGAGCAAGTCTGGGACGCCCCCGCCCCCCTGAGCGCGCTACGGACATGCTCAAGCCGAAGACCTCTGACGCCCGAGCAAGTGCCAGCTCCCTTGCGCGGGGAGGCTTGGACCGGAGCTCAGAAGTCCAAAGAGTCTGGCACGAGAGCGAAGGCATGGTTTTCTGCCAGCCTGGAACATATCCCTAGCCCTATGCTGGGCATCGCCTCATCACGATGCCCAGCACAGGGATTCCCTTAGCTTCCGAGTGCGCATCCCTAAGGTTGTCATCGCCTTTCGGCGTGTCAATCTTAGCGATAGGGATAAGTTCGAAGCTGGTGAGTTTTGTTGCCCGGTGCTGCTGGCGCACGGCGGCCAGGCCGGAGGCCTGTGCACGGCAAGGCAGCTCGGCCACCGAGGTGTCAAGTGCACGTCGGATGCGGCCGTGGGATCTGCTCTGGATGGGCACCGGCAGAGCCGGCCAGGAGGGGAAAGGGGGCAATCCCGGCATCCAATGCCCATCTCTGGAGGAGGACGCCAGAAGGCTGCGCGCCCAGCACGTAACCGTCGCGAGTACGTACCAGCCCGTTGCACCCCGACGAAGCCCAGCCCCTGTAGAGAGAGAACCCTGAGATCCTGGCGACGCAGCCTTTTGCTACTCCGGACGATGTCGCCCGGCCTCGGGCCCCGGGACCCTCACAGATCGACCCGGCTCGGAAAGCGCCACGGAGAGGCGGGGTCCCTAGGGCTCTGGTGGTCATGTTTCGCGGTGGCGCCTTTCTGTTGCAGCGTCGGATCTCGTGGAACCTCCCAGGGCGACTCCTTGCCTCGAGGAGGGCGACGAGGATCGGGGGCGCGCAAACATGGATTGGCGATCCATGGGTCTGGCGCGCGGTCGCCAAATCCATGGGTCGAGGGAGGTGCCCTCCCCGAAACGCGGCTGGTGCTGCCTCGTTCGGCGGCGGAAATCCGCGATTTCCCATGGAAACGGGACCCGTCACTAATCCGCGCCCCCTTAATCCATGTCTGCGATCGCCTGAGAGAAGGACGAATGGCCGAGGGGACACCCACACATGCTGCACTCCAGGGGCGGCGATGGCCGATGCGATGCCTTCAGCGAGGCTCCCAGGCGACAGTGTGAATTGCTCCCCCCTGGGCCATTCGTCCCTGTCGTCGCGCCTTTGCAAGTACGTCGACTACGGCACCGCCTGATCCCGAGGCTTTGCCTCCTCCCGGCCTCGTTCTGAGGCTGCGCCCACCCCTATTCCTCCCCCTCAATGGTTAATGCAAGCTTCGCGCGGCCCGCTTAGCTTCGACCGGAAGAGGTGCGCTCTCGACCCGCGAATCAAAAAAAACATTCGCCCCTGTCGTCGCCTCCGATTGTCCGCCCGCTTGCAGACGCCATCGAGTCCCTGGCCTGCACCACCACCCCCCGCGCGCTCCAAAGCTCGGCGTGCGGAGCCCTGGGCTGGGCGCTCTCCAGGCTGCCTCCTCCAGGCGGCCACGCGGAGCTCCTCCTCCTCCTCCTCCTCCTCCTCCTCCTCCTCCTCCTCCTCCTCCTCCTCCTCCACCTCCCCCTCCTCCTCCTCCACCTCCCCCACCTCCCCCTCCTCCTCCTCCCAAGAGAACACCCCAGGAGGCCCCAGGAGGCCTCCGAGAGAGCCCAGGAGGGCCCCCAGGAGGCCTCCGAGAGAGCCCAGGAGGGCCCCCTGGAGGCCCCCCGAGGCCCCCAAAAAGATCAAAAAGAGACCTCAAGAGGCCCCCAGACGGCACTCAAGAGGCGTCCAAACTGCCTCCAAGAGGCCCCCGAGAAGCCTCCCAAAATATCCCAACGAACATCCAAGAGGCCTCTGACCCACAACCCAGGCACGGTGGCGGGATAGGCCGAAGGGCTCTAAATATGTGGCGCTGGCGCGCATCTTCAGATCATGTTCGCTGCCACTGCACCAAAGTAGAGACCGGTGACGTCGTCCTCGTTCGGGTTCGTGCCTCTAGCCATCACCCGCCTCGCAGGCTCGGGCGCGAACGAATAACTGTGCGCAATTCGGTCCCGCGACGGTAGACTGTCGCCTCGGAGGTTCGCGTCTGCGGCAAGGCGAACGCGACGCGGCGCAGATGTGCCGCAGATGTGAGAAATTGTCCAAAAAAATAAAACGAAAATGAAAATAACATGTTTTGACTGTTCCTACTGTAGATGGACAGGCCCGACTGAACGCCAGACTATGTTTTCGACATGATGGACAAGCGGCTCCCCTTTGAACCTGAACTCCGTGCTGTCGTGTCTGACGACAGACTTGCACGCGCTGTCCGACGAGGCGAGGATGAGTTTCGCCCTGGGACGCAATCCTGCAGTTTGCGCGGATGCCCTCGCAGCCGTCCTCGATCGCCCTGATAGCCGCGAGGTGCGAATATGAAGCAGCTGACGTAGATGACGTTCGCCCGACGAACATGGCGCAGATTAGCACGAAGGAGACGAATTCCGCGAGAAACGAGTCCTGGATCCGTTCGCCGTGTTCCATTCCCCCCTCGGCCCTCCACGGGGCCCCCCGGGGCCACCAGGGACTTGCTTGGAGTGATGAGCCGGTCGTGGGGCAGGGCGCTCATGAGTGTGATAGAAGCGGTCCCTCGCCACCGGCCCTCCCGTGCAGATTCGAGGCGAGGTGCTGAAGGAACGGCATGGAAGCGTACCGACCATCATGGTGTCAGGCCCTGTGATGATTCCCGCATGGGATGTGCAGACTGCGGAGGTTCGGCACCTCAGGCGAGAGCTCAAGAGGTTCCTGGACATCAAGGCCAGGCCAGGCCTGCTCCGAGGCGTGCTCCTCTCGCCAGCAAGCCCGCAAACGTTGCATGGAAGGAGGGCGCATGAGCCTCACACAATCGGGAAACATCATAAGTTTGGCACGATGTCATGTTTGAAGTGCGGGGTTACTCACAGAGAGAAGAACTGAAGGTGTCCGAGCTCTGCGGAAGCCGATCTGCAGCGCACGGGGGGAAGGCACTCCGCAGGTCGTTGAGGGCCTAGATTCCAGCAGAGAAGTCCAATGGAGCACATAAATTATAGATATACATACATATACACATATAGCTATATCTATACATATACACATATATATACATGTACATACACATATGTGTATATATGTTTATGTATTTATATATATGTTGATAACAAAATACACACGCATAGACCTGCATGTTTAGCCATTACGAAAACTATTCAGATTGAGCACTGACGACTAAGGCGTCTCCGAGCGGGACACGCGTTTCCCCCCGTAGACTCATAGCACGGCAGCCTTCGGCCTGGTTGGGCGGGAGAGCTTTCTGGGCTTCTCCCTAATGTACAAGTAATAATTGCAATAACCAAACGATCTGACAAATTCGGTATAAAATCTCTCCCTACAAGTTCACGAGAGGGAAATCACTCCCGGCCACTTCCACGCCATTCTGAATATCTCCCCATACAAAATCACAAATAAAGATTACTCCCAGAATACTTCTCACCACGGCGCCCACACATGTCAGATTTAGCCTGGATGAATACACTCTCGTAACAGGGATATATAAACAGAAACTGGCCACGGGCTGGAAAAGACCAAAGATCCCCTCAGGACCCCCCTCTCCTCCGCGACGGGCATGACCGGCGCACCCCGCCGCAGGTGGCGCGGCGGGCGCAGACGCCTGTGCAGGACCCCTGACGCAGAAGGCCCTGCGGCTCATCCTCGGGACGCGTTTTTGTCGCGGACTCTGGAGGAAGGAAAAACGCCGTGAACAGAAACTTTTGGCGCTCCGCGCGGCTTTCGTGGATCTGCGCTGGATCCCCTCCCTGGCGCGCGGAACGCGCCAGGGGCGGCGCTGGAGGCGACGCCCGGGGGGGGGGGCCCAGCGCGGATCCAAGAAGTCCGCGCGGAGCGCCAAAAATTCCTAGTTACGCTTGCGGCGTTTTCTCTTCCTCGAGAGACTCGGCGCACGCGCGAGTCGGTCGCAGCCAGCGCTGGGCCGCAGCGGAGCGCCCTGCGCACGCGGGCGCCCCCGTGGGCGGGAAGCTGCTCGCCGGCACGGGCGGCGCCCCTGAGGCGCGGCGTCCCCCAGAGCCGGCCGCGCGCAAGGGGCGCGGCGGCGGCGGCCCGGGAGCGCCGCGCGGCTCGGCCCGCCGCGCGCGCCCTGGAGCTGCAGCGCGACGCCGCGCGCGCGCGCCTGCCGAGCGACAAGCTGGGCGGGTCTGCGCTGGATCGGGTCGCGAGATCGGAGCGGAGCGAGTGCGGATCGAATCGCCAGCGACTCGTCCCGGATCGGATCTGTCTCGGAGCGGCGCCGCGCCGCGCCTCCGGCCGGCCCTGGCCGGTGCCCGCGAGTAGAGCTGGATCGCGTCGCATTGGAGTCGCGGCCCTGGCCGGCGAAGCGAATCGCACCGAATCGGATCGTAGGCGGCCCCGCTTGGAGGGGAAGGTGGGGGGGAAGCTGGGGGTGAGGACGGATGTTAACGACCTGAGGGTCGAACCTACCGTGGGGTCCGTAAGTTAGTGACGATGAAGAGAGAAGATCGAGATCTTTGTACCCTCGCGCCCGATGAGAAGCGGGCGCCGATATATCCGACAGGGTGTCCAATACCTGAACCGAGAGGATAGCAGGATAGATGGATAGAAGGAGGAGAGGAGCGGTCTTCATACAAGAGGGGGGGGCCGGCTCACGGGGGGCACATCACCATGGACTCGGCGATGCGTCGCCGAGGGATCGGCGATGGGCCCTCTCGAGGGCAGATCCGCACACTCTCCTGGGCGGAGTGGGCCACCCGGCCACCATCGGCGATGAATGGGCACTTGGGGGTCGATGCATCCCCCCTGAGCATACAGTGGGGGCCAGTCCACGAGAAACCTTCATCGAAACCCAAGAAACCCAGGGCACCCTGGAGGCAAGCAGGGTGTTTCTTGGCATGGGCCCCCACTGTATCCCCCCCTAACGTTGCCCCTGATGTTCTCCCGCCGACTTCAGGGAGCTCTGGCCAGTAGCGTCGCTCTTCGAATGCTGCGAAGCGGCCTTCGAGGTCGCCCACGCCAGCCGTCTCATCCAACCCCGACTGCACCGCTGAGCGGCGGGCTGAGGGCAGGAGGAGGAGGGAGAAGAGGAGGGAGAGGAGGAGGAGGAGGAGGAGGAGGAGGAGGAGGAGGAGAAGGAGGAGGATGCAGGGCGAAGGAGGGGGAAGGGGGAGGCGTGGAAGGGGACGGGGGGGAGTAAGGGGAAGGGGTACGGGACGAGGGAGAGCAGGAGGAGCAGCAGGAGCGGGGGAGCGGAAAGGGGGAAAGAAGAGACAGGGTAAGGAAGTGGGTGAGCAGGAGGGAGACGGCAGGAGGAGGACCTGGAGCAGCAGTAGGAGGAGCAGCGGGACGACAAGGAGGAAGAGGAGGAGGAGGAGGAGGAGGAGGAGGAGGAGGAGGAGGAGGAGGGGGAGGAGGGGAAAGAGGAGAAAGAGGAGAAAGGGGAGAAAGACAAGAAGCACGGGGAGGACAGGGAGGAAGAGGAGGAGGAGGAGGAAGACGAGAAGGAGGAGGAGGAGGTGGTGGAGGAGGAGGAGGGGAGAGGGATGAGGGGCGGGAGGGCCAGCGGGAGAGGAGGTTAGGACGACGAGGGCGCGATCGTGGACGAGGAGAGCGATTGCGTGGACGAGGACGAAGACAAGGGGTGGCAGATCCCCCGCGGAATCGCAGGCCTTCACCCCCTTCAAGCCGTAGATACGGGCGATGCCGTCCCCGACGCTCAGCACCCGGCCAACCTTTCCGCGATTCGCGGCCCTCACCCGCCGCCCCGCACCCCGCGCAGCCGGCTAGTCTCGCAACTGCCAAAAGGAAAAAGGATAACACATGGAGCTGAAAAGTCCAAGGGTTGAAAACCTGGCCAGGGCTGAAGATGGCTCGAGATACGACTCTGGCCGCGGCTGGAGGGACGCCGAGGAAGCCTGCCCGGGCTGAAAAAGATGTAGCGCCATTCACTGCCTCTTATTGCCGGCTTCACTGCGTCCCCCCTGCGTGCCGCAGACCTCCTGCGACGGACCCCCTGCTTCGGCGCCCTCCCCTCCTTCGGTATCCAAGGATTCGCGTCGCGATAGCGATTATTCACCTTGTTGACGCCAAGCTTCACCACCCGAGCCCAAGCGGCGTGCCGAACCGGCGTCGCCCGCACGTGCGTGGCGAGGCCGCGGGAACGCTGAGGGAGTCGCAGTTCTCAAGTGTGCGTCCCTTGTGGAATCTCACCAACCCTGTAGGGCGTGAGCGGTTTAGCGACTGTTCCCTACTGCTCCCTACTAATAAACACTGTTCCCTACTCATAAACATGACTGTTCCCTGCTAATAAACATCCTTCGGGAAAAGATTATGACTGTTCCCTACTAATAAACACATCCCCACCCACCCGACAAGAAGCCAACCCGGACCCATGAGCCCATCCCCCACTGCCTCAAATCTGGAGCATGCGCGGGCGCCCCGCGACCACTTTGCACTGGTTTTGACAGAAACGGCGGGGGTGTCGGTGTATTACCTGCCCTTTGCCATGCCAACACCCCCTCACCATCCTCCTCAAAAAATATCCTGGCGCAGGGCCCAACCATGAGCTGTTGTGACTTCCGCCCTGCCGGCACCACTTCCGGTGGAGATCTCTGTGTGGCCACAAACGGGTGAGATGTGTGTGTGTGTGTGTGCGTGTGTCGAAATTGGTGCGGTGGTGCCATGCGAGCTCAGCAGCTGAGGCCTTCGGTGGAGCTCCCTATTGGGACCACGAAACGTGCGAAGGGTGTGCTGGCGTGGGTGCAGTGGCGCAGTGCGAACGCAGCCGCTGGGGCCCTTGGTAAAACTCCCTGTGGGGCGAGGAAACGTGTGAGGGGTATTTCGGCGTGGGCGCGGTGGTGCCATGCGAACGCAGCACTCTCTGTGGGGCCACGAAACTTTTGGAGGGTGTGCCGAAATCGACGTCCTGGTGCCATGCGAACGCAATCGCTGGGGCCTTCGGTGAACATCCCCATGAGGCCACGAAACGGGTGAGGGTTGTTGGGTGCGGTGGTGCATCGGTAGAACTCCCGATGGGACCACGGAACGTGTGAGGGTGTCCCAGAATGGGTGCGGTGGTGCTGTTCGAACGCAGCCACCAAAGCCTTCGGTGGACCTCCCTATCGGGCCACGAGACGTGTGGGGGTGTGCCGACATGGGCACGGTGGCGTCGTGCGAACGCAGCCACTGGGGCCTTCCACGGAGCTCCTTCTGGGGCCAGGAAACATATCAAGGGGGTGCCGAAAGGGGTGCGGTGGCACCGTGCGAACGCAGCAACCCATGGGGCCACGCAGCGTGTGAGCGGTGTGCCGAAATTGGCGCGGTGGCGCCATGCGAACGCAGCCGTTGGGGCCTTCGGTGGAGTTGTCTGTGGGGTCACGAACCGTGTGAAGGGTGTGCAGACATGGGCGCGGTGGCATCATGCGAACGCAGCAGCTTTGGCCGTCAGTGGAGTTCCCTATGGGGCCGCGAAACGTGTGAAGGGTATGCCGGAATAGGTGCTCTGGAGCCATGCGAACGCAGCCACTGGAGCCTTCGGTGAAGCTCTGTGCCGAGATGGGCGCGGTGGTGCCATGCGAAAGCAGCCGATGATACCCTCGGTGAAATTCCCCATGGGACCACTAAAAGCGCGAAGGACCAGGAAAAGCGCGAAGGGTATACTTATCGACATGGGTGCGGCGGCACCATGCAAACGCAGCAACTTTGGCTTTCAGTGGAGTTTCCTCTTGGGCTTCGAAACGTGTGAGGGATCTGCAGGAATGGGTGCGGTGGTGCCAGGCGAACGAAGCAACCTTGGCTCTCGGTGGACCTCCCTATCGGGCCACGAATGAGGGGTATGCCTAAATGGGTGCGGTGGGGAATTGCGAACGCAGCAAGTGGGGCCTTTGTAGGAGCTCCTTATGGGGCCACGAAACGTGTGAAGGGAATGCCGAAAACTGCGCGGCGGTGCCATGCGAACGCAGCCACTAGGGCCTTCGACGGAGCTCCGCATGGGGCCGTGAAACATGCGAGGACGGTGCCGAAATGGACGACGTGGTGCCATGTGAACGACGCAACCATTGGGGCCTTCTGTGGAACTCCCTACGGGGCTACGAAGCGTGTGAGGGGCGCGCCGACATGGGTCTGGTGGTGCCATGCAACCGCAGCCACGGGGGGGCCTTTGGTGGAGCTCCCTTTGGGGCTGCGAAGCGTGCGACGGGCGTGCCGAAACGCGAAGGGCTGGTGCAAGGATGGGAGGAGGGAAGGGCACCGGGAGGGAAGGAAGGAATGAGACGCTGGGCGGTGTCTCTTCAAAACGAGGACCCAACACCACAGGATGGTTGGGAATCATGCACGCACCCTTTGCGGCCAAATCTAAAGTCATGCTCGGGGGCCCCGCGGGCATTATGTACTGTTTGTTGACAGGGACGACGGGGGTGCGAGCATATGGTTAGTGCGCGCAGAGCCACCATCCCTGTCTGATTATCCTGACAAAGAACCCAACCATGTGCAGTTGTTGGTAGCGCGGTTGTGAATATCCCCATTGGTGCAGCTCCCTTTGCGGCCACGAAACGCGCGAGGAATGTGCCCGGACGGGTGCGGCGGTGCCTACTGGGGCCCTCGGTGAGGATCCCTATGGGGCCACGAAACGCGCGAGGGGTGTGCCCTCACGGGCGCGGCGGTGCCATGCAACCGCAGCCACTGAAGCCTTCGGTTGAGCTCCCTATGGGGCCACGAAGCATGTGAGGGGTGTGCCCAAGTGCGTGAGCGGTGCCATGCGAACGCAGACACTGGGGCCTTCTGCGAAACCCACCTATGCGGCCACGAAGCGTACGAAGGGCGTACACGAACGGGTGCGGCGGTGCCACACGAAAGCAGCCACTGGAGCCTTCGGTGGAGCTGAAGAGAGAGAGAGAGAGAGAGAGAGAGAGAGAGAGAGGGCCCGTAGGGCAGAAGAGTCTGCCCCAGCATGACGCCGGGCCGCGCGCACCGCTCACTTGTGCTGTCAAGTGTCTTGCCAACGTTTTCGCTGTCGTCCAACGTGTCTCTGGGCATGTACGTGGTGCCATGGGTGCCAGTCCAGTAGCCTCGTCCCCCAGCGCCCGCCAGGAGCCGATTGCATTTTATCGCGGAGACGACTCTTGGTATCTTGGAAATCGTCAACCCAATCACGCACACCGTATTTTTGAGCAAGGTATGACGCTGCTGATGTAGAACGCTTGATAAAACCTACCCAATCTTCGTCAGGGAGCCGCCGTGCACCAAGAATCATTCGGATCATCCGTCTTTGCGCACTCTGCAATTGTCGTTGCTGCTCCAGCGTGAGCGTCCATGCACCAGAACAATATATCACACACGGCGCAACGGATGCTTGGAACAACCGCATGCGGTGCTGCAACTTGATACGCCGGTTGCAGAACGTGAACTTGTGTTTTGCGAATGCTGCCCAACCACACCCAATCCTGTACTGTAGCTCCGTCTCGTGATAGGAATCCAAAGACAGCTTGCGTCCCAAATATTTCTCGGACTGGCCGTGTTGAAGCACTCGCACATTGTGACCCCCGCACCGCAAAGTGGCCGGCCTGTTGTTGACGTTTGTCAGAAGTACTGTTTTGCCCATATGCACTCTGAGACCGTATTTGCGCGCCTCCGTCTCCAGATCAACAAGCATTCTTGAAGAGTCTCTGGCAGAGGATGCCACCATCAGCACATCATCAGCAAACCTGAGATTGGCGAGGGGGTCGTCGGCGCTGTCAATGACCATGCCGTAGTACGATCCAAGACGCTTGTGGTTCAGGCTAGCCCAGCGCACCTTCAGCTTCCGGAAAATCGCCTCCATGACGACGACAAATAGGAAAGAACTAATAGGATCGCCTTGCTTTACACCGCGATATATGTCAAACATTCTGCTCTTGGTGCCTGCCGTGACGCACGCCGACTGTTTGGCATACAGTCGCTTGAGCAAGTTGATATACTCATGTCCCACGTTCTGTTCTGCCAGTGCTTCCCACAGACTCTCGTGTTCCACTGTATCAGAGGCCTTCTCGAAGTCAACCAAGCAGATCCAAAGCGGCGTGTTGAACTCATTGCACGCTTCCACGAGTAACGTTGTTGTCAACATATGGTCTATGGTTCCATATCCTTTCCGATATGCCGCCTGGTCTGTCGATTGCTCTCTCGTGATGGTGGGCCTCAGCCTTTCGCATAGCATTCGACTGAACAGTTTGTATAATATTTCCAAGATGGCAATGGGGCGGTAATTCGAAGGTGAAGAAGAGTCCCCCTTCTTGTAGAGCACTGTGATGCGAGCCCGGAGCCAACCACTCGGTAATTCTGCGGATGGGTTCAGGATCTCGTTGAACGTATCCAACAGCAGATCCCGCAAGACCTCAGAGTCAATCTTAATCAGCTCTGCTCTCACGCCATTGTCGTCAGCGGCTTTGTGAAGCTTCAATTGGCGTATCGCTTCTTTCAGTTCTTCCATGGTGAACGGTGGCACTCGATTGTCACCAACAGGAGAATATGTATTCTGCGAGTGCTCTGGCCTGGTGCTCGCGTACAGCTCTTCGTAGAACAACGCAAAAACTTCTGCAATATCATGCTTCTCGTTCACGAGTTGGCCAGCTTTGTCCTTCATTCCGGTAATGTGGGACTTGGGGCGCCCGCTCGTTATGGAGGGAATCTGCTTGACATCGCGGAAAAGATGTAAAATCTTATCAATTTTCGCAGTATGCTCCAAAACCCGGCGATGGCGAA